CAGTGCAACCTTTGCACGCACAGCCACCGCAACCAAAGTAGCCGGAAAACGTCGAGCCATCGCAACCACCGACGTCCCAGTTGAACGGCGCGCAACCCTTACACGCAGCCACCTACGGTGGTGCCGCGACGAAGAGAAAGAACAAAAACGTCCCAAAATTCGAACAATTTCGAATTAAAATCAGGATTTTCTAGCGTTTGATGTTCGAATTTAATCCCAAAACAAGATTTTGGTATCAATTTTCAATCTTATTGAATTAATTTGATGATTTTCATTCAAAATCAAATTGGGGAAAAAGTTAGGGTTCTTAAAAACTTTTGAATCAAACTCTTTGATTTCAAAACGAAAATAACAGTTTTTTACATGATTTTGCAATTGAAATCAAAAGAAAACAAAGCCGTCAATCAATTTCAACACAACTTGTCGAATTAGAGATCAAAATTTCGATTTTGTTTCCCCTTTGTTCGTTTTTTTTTTTTTTTTAATTATAATTAAACGAATTTAATTAAATATCAAAAAGTTAATTCCAATCAATTAAACAGTCTTAAATGCTGACCAACGTCAAATATTTAACCATAGTTCAAAGTTAACGGAAAGTTAACGGTTTCAAAGTAAATAGGCTACGGAAGCAACTTTTTAAAACATTCAGGGCTACCATTGAGAATTTTTAAAAAACTGGCTACCATTGAGAATTGCCAAAAGTTCGGGGCTACCATTGAGAATTTCCCAAAATCTTAATTTATCTCCAGTCATATGCTTAGAACAACCTCTTTCGAGGTACCACGTGTTATTCCCTCTCACTGGAACCTGCATGAAAATAAAACATTAGTGTCAGGAACCCAGGTCTCCTTGGGTTCCTGTGTAACAGATGTAGATTCAGATTTCTTCACCCAAATCTGTTTAACATGATTCTCATTCTTAAGAGTGCTCTTATCTTTCTTAGGACATTTGTTTTATTTATGTCTTGTCTTGCCATAGAAATAGCAAACAATACTACTAGGTTGGTGAACATACTTCTTTTCTTTCTAGAACTTCTTATACCCTAGACCTTCAATTTTTTTTTGGTTTGAGCATTAGTAATCCAATCAGGAATAGTGTACTCTACAAGTTGTTTGTCTTTCCTGGCACTTTCAAGTTCCTCCTCAAGTCTAGCCTTATCCAATTTTAATTCTTCCAAATCAGATTTTAGTTTTTCAAAATTTGGATATTGATCTAGTAGAGGAGCTTCAGAGTCCGGAGTGGCTCCATTGAGTTTCAAAAAAAGATAATTCCACATTCAATTGTATGTTATCATGCATGTTACAATCTTTCAACAATTTCTTTTAATTTCACATTGTCACCAAACAAATCAAAATATCTATGTTGAATATCAAATCTCATGTTGTCGACCCATTCACTGTGTTCTATGTGAATTTTAAGAGCTTTATCACTTTTCGCTTTGGCCACATGCAAATCAATTAAATCACCTTAGCTAGTCTCCTTAGCTTGCTTTCCAGCTCTTGTTAAGGAACTTCTCTCTGTGATCCCGTTAGGGACCACTTCTAGTTCCAATGAGGAACTCTTCGTCTTTTCTCTTTATTTTTCCTTTATTTCTCCTTGGATCTTTATAGATAGGTTACTCTTCCATTCCCTAAGTCTATTTCACCTGTTCTTATTCAACACTTAGAGAAATCACATTAGTTGAATTTTGCATATCCATCATCATCAAAACTACTTAAGGTTCGACAAAAGTCATTTTTAACTATATATAATTCCTTTTGTAAGTTGCTATGCCTATTTTTAGGCTTCGTACGTACTATTTACATATTTTTTAATGGTGTATATATTTAAGAAAAAAGGTTCAATCATCAAATCATGTGAGCTTTATTTGCATGTTAGGTTCATATTCGTGTATTAATTAATATATTAACTTTGTTATATAATTTTTACTCGTTGACAATTAAAGATAGCAAATATGGTTGAACTTACGCAATGACATACGTGAATAGTATAAATGATGCAATTAAATAAAAACTCGAGAGTGCTGGCCCAATAATCTTTAAAGTTTATGACTTGGGCCACTAATCTTAAATATTTTGTGATCTAGCCCAATAGATTGTGGTACGTTTTGAGCTGTTAAGACCAGAAAAAGGGCCTAGTATGTTTGCTATTTACACAATCAATCACATAATACTAAAACAAACCTCAGGAATACCACATGTCACTTCCTTGTGCTGTGTTTTTTTCCTCCAACTTACATAAAAATCTAATTTATTTTTTAAAAATATCCATTGATTGATTATATACAAGATTTTTCATATATTTATTTTAAAAATTATTTACCATATATTTACCAGATAAGAAAATCATTGACTAACAATATACAAATATATTTAGGTCACTTGATATTGTAATTTTTTTTCCTTAATTTATAAATGTAATGTCTCCTATGTAATTAAGGAAAATATATTAAATAAAATATTTTCAAATTACAATTGATTCACTTATATACAAAGTATATTACAATAGGACCTATAAATATGTATCAGATTAAAAATCTCATTTTATAACCTATATTATTGTCTTCTCATTTTAGTAATCATATTCAATCTGTATACATTTAGCTAGAATTTTGGAAAAATTGCCCACAATAATCCTACTTTTGCCTCATCCGCCCAATATAATCTGACCTATTGGTTATTTTTAAATAATCCGATCTTTGACGTCAATTTGCTGAAAATGGACCCAACCGGTCATGCAACTTGTTATAACAAGTTATGTGACATGTGGCGGCATGTGATTGGTAAAAAAAAAATGAAATAAAATAATTATTTTAAAAAAAATGTTAAACTTTTTTAAGGAAAAAAAAAAAATTCAAAATCCGCCACCAGCCCAAACCACCTCCCCGTCGCCTGACTTCCCTATCCCGCGACTCCAGCCACCCGTACCCCACTCCCCTAGAGCCGGCGCCAACGCCGTGGCCGACCCCCTCCCTTTCCCCCGTACCACCATCCCCCTCCCTCCCTTACAAAAAACCACTAAAACCATCCCCCACCCTTGAAAACCCCTTCTCCGTACGTCACGATTTCGGCCCCGCTCCCCTTCCCCCGTCTCGATTCCGGCCTCCCTCCCTTTCCCCGCATCGAGTTCGGCCTCCCTCGTACCTTCCCATGCCTCGATTTTGGCCTCCCTTTTTAGAGCAACCACCCACAATAGGGACGACATTGCGGTGGCTGGGGCTACAATTCGTCAGTGGTGGCTAGGGCTTCAAATCGGTAGTGGCTAGGGCTTCAAATCGGCGGTGTCAGGGTCTTCAAGTTGGCGGTGGCTGGGCTGCAATTCGGCGGTGGTGGCTAGGGCTTCAAATCGGTAGGGGCTAGGGAAGGGTGGCAGGGGCTCTTGTTTTTTTTTTTTTAATTTTTAAATTCGAATTTTTTTTAATTAAAAAATTTAGACAAAATCGTGTGGTGACGCGTATACTTAAACCAAAAAAAAATAATTACATATATATTTAACAGGTAACCGGTCACTTGGGACCACTTTCAGCGGATTGACATTAAAGGTCAGATTATTAAAAACTAATCGAAAGGTTGGATTATTTTGGACGGATGAGGCAAAGGTCGGATTATTATGGGCAATATTTCCTTGAACATTTGTACATATCTTCAATAATATACTAGGTAAATTTTTATATATATACTATTATATAAGGTAATTAAAATTTACCTAAAAAAAAGGTAATTAGAATAATATTATTATCATTGATTATAGTAATATTATCATTTTTTTTCTCGAACTTTATTTTTTGGCTATAAAATTCATTTCATTTAAAAAAAAATATTTTGATAACATATACGAAGTATATAGGAAAAAAAAAAGCAATGGATAATAACTTTGATGTTTTTGGTATTGAATATAGATTAAAGTTAAGTTATATGGTTAAAAATAATTTTTTTTGTTACTACACCATAAAATATAAAATTCGATATAAAATTTAAGAAAACTATGCGTGGCACGGGACTTTGGCTAGTATATATCTTATAACTCAAACCATTTGCACCAAGTGTCATCCCTTCCTTTTAATAAATTTTTTTTCAACAAAAAATATAATTATATTGGTAATTCAATTTATGTATTTAATGATTTTCTTTCATATTCTAATAATATTAATGAATACATATTAGCTTTCCTCTCCCTAACGCTTGGCACTGGTGTGGGTGGGGTAGAGGCGGCTGGTTGATAGAGTATAAAATATATTCTAGGGCCTCAACCAGCAGCTTAAACTTTTCGTTGATTTGGTCCTTTAACATAGTATCAATGGCCAACATGATACAAAGGTCACGAATTTGAATTTCATCCACCCTTCCTTTCAAAGTGGAATATAATAAAACGCTGGTTATGGTGGGGCACATGCTACATCCACACTTTAAGTCCAATGGGTTCTCATGTGACTGGGCGTGATAGTGTACATAAACTGATCTTGGGCTTTAACCATCAACTTAAACTTTTGGTTGAATTGGTCCTCTAACATGGTATTGGAGCTAGCGTGACACAAAGGTCACGGGTTCAAATCCCATCCAACCCCCCATTTTTTCAAGTGGTTTTTTTTTTTTTTTCTTTTTACCAAAGAGAAAAATAAAAATTAGGGTGTTAACAAAGAGAACTTCCCAAAAAAAAATTCATTTGCTGCAAATTAATAAAAACATAAAGGTAATATAACAACTTATACCATACACAAAAACAAAAACAAAAAAAAAAAAAAAAAAAAAAAAAATGCTTTTCAAGAGACAATATAAGCATATGTCCTTACATTTCACGTTTGCGTAAACATGTAAATCTATTCCTCCAGTCATGTGCGAAAGTCTAGCAAGCTTTTAAAGCTGAAAAAAAAAATTTATTTCATTATTAAAGCAGTGAAATAGCAAATCATTTCAATTATAAATTGAGATCATAAATATCAACCCATTTTAATTTTTGCATGTTTAAATAAAAAAAAATTAGTTGGTGCTTTAATTTTTCATTTATAATCTTCAATGTACAAGTTCGAAGATTTATGTATAAATACTTTTCCCTATTTTGTTTTTTCAACATTTGGCATTTAACCAAATAATTATCTACTAAAAATGGAAATTACAAAGTTAAGGGTAAGCACCAAAGCAAAATCACAGAAAAATTTAGGGTTTGATGAGGAGTTAGAGCCAGTGAGTCCTACAACAGAATACTTCCTAACAGAGGGATTAACCATTTACGCTCTTTGTTTCTTTGAATTGGCGGTGTCTACTGATTTTCCATCTGTTTATGCTTTCCTCAATGATGTCTTCATTAATGCTCATCCTCGTTTCTCCTCCATCCCGGTATCATCTTGCTTCTCTTTTTTATGATTCTGTGATGCAAGATGCTAATGATTATGTTAATTATTTGCAAAATTCATCACATATTACACAACATATACTAATGTAATCTCATTTCCTAATTTTTACATGCACGTATGCTAACGATTATGTTACATATGTGCATGCTGTGGATGATTGCTTTCATGCCTTTTGCGTTAGTAATACATAATAATCTTAAAGTTTTTTAATCTTTAAGATTTTTTTGTCAACCACTACCTAGAACGAACCCTTGTTTAATTTATAATCAAAAAGTAAGAGAAATTTTTTGGAGCGAATTCAATGTAAATTGGGAGTAAATTAACTATATTTAGTCATGTACGGGAAGATATTTCGGTTTGGCCTTATGCCACAATTATACTTCCTCTGCTCCACAAATATTGCGACAAGGATGAAATTACGCATCCCAAAACACATTTTATATACTAAATATCTATAATTATATAAGAGTAAAAATTATAAAAAGTTGATATTGTGAAAGTATTTTATGAAACGAATCTAACAAGACCCCATATGACTATATTTTACTTTACGTATAAATCATAATATGTGGTCAACAAGCGTGATGAATAGTGTAAAAGTCCAGTTGTTTCAATATTACTATAACGGAGGAAGTATATAATTGTGAGTAGTACGTATTAATAAGAGAAAATATGTAGACAAATATTTTAATGGTATAAATATCCGCACACTACTATTGAGAGTTTTAAAAAGAGGTAATTAACATTAATGAGGACAAATAAGTAAATAAACATTTAAGAGAGTACAACTGTCCAAACACTATTCATAAGAGTTATCTTAAACTTTTTAAAAGGTAGGGATACAATAAACATATTTAAATAGAAAAATAAAAGTAGTTAGCCTGGTTTTAATTATCAACTAGTGAGTAGCCCGGGCGTTCAGGTTGATACTTTAAACGCTTTTCAAAACTGAATTTGTCATTGTCATATATACCAGTATTCTTTGAGGGTTTTTTTATTTTTTTTTATTTCAACCTTGTGGTTTGCACTTATATAATTTTTTTTAAACATAGTTGGTAATTGGCTTAGATGGTTAAATAGCCATCTTTGTTATAATTGGTTGAGGGTTCAAATCTTCTTATCCTTATGTTTTTATATGTAGTAATATAGGTTGCTTGTGTGATGTGGCATATTATATGAAATAATATTGATTTCTTGGGTGACATGGCATAATGATTTTGATTGTTTAATTTGAGTGATGATGTGGCGTCATGAGATGTTGAGAAGGTGACGTGGTGCAATACAAAAGGGACTACTATACGTGGCACATCGACGTTCTTAGGAATGCCCAAAGTAGTTGGCTTGGTTTTAATTATCAATAAATGATTATCACGCTTCATTAGTACATAATTGAATGATTCTCTATAAATCTTTATATAATAATGGTACTCAATGAAGAAAAATCTAATGAATCCACAACAACAAAAAAATCAATTATCATCATTAAAACCAACTTTAGTGGGCTAGCTTTAATTCACATAATTAATAAACAAAACTAGTTTTTAGGCTCGGGCGATGCCTTGAGCTACTGCATCAATTTTATGGTAAAAATCTTTATTAATATTTATTTTTTATTGAATGACGTGTAATATGGCAATAGCTTGGTGGGTAACACCTTAAATTTTAAACTTAAGGTTGTGTGTTCAACTCTTGTAAGAGCCATATTTTTAAACATGGAGATAAAATCAGATTTAAAGTAGTATTTTAACGTGGTCTAGTATTGAGGTCTTACACTGGCCCGGTGGCAAAAATTGAAGACCGTACAATAGGTTACATGTTGGATCTAGTCCTCCTCCCCATTTGTAATTCATAAAGTGTAATTCATAATGTGTAACGTTCTTGTAGCTCATTCGCACCAAATAATGCGAGTATGCATGACTAATAGATAATAATACATGTACGTGGGTAGGTTGAAGACAAAAGGGGAAAGAAAAAGTGGAAAAAAGTAGAAGTGAATATCAAAGATCTTGTTGTGACTCCAGTATATCCTGAAGGTTTATCAATAGAAGATTATAGTAAGCATTTTGATGATTACATATCCAAAATATCTACATCACAAATTCCACAAGATAAACCTTTGTGGCAACTTCACATTTTCAACTACCCTACAAAGAATGCCGCTGCAACTTTCATATTTAAGTTTCACCATGCCATTGCTGATGGCACCTCGCTCATGGGAGTCCTCTACTCTTGCTATAAACAAGTAGACGATCCTTCGAAACCTCTCACATTCCCATCTAGAACTACTCCAAGGGAGAAACAAAGTCATTCTATGAAGAAAGTTTTCAACATTGTGCCTAAGTTTATTGCTTCTATCTTTTACACCTTCCTATATTTTGGACAAAGTATTAAGTTATCTTACTTGGAAGATGATCGGACTCCAATCAGGTCAGGTAATACAGAGATGAATCCAGATTGTAGAATTTGTACTGTCAACTTATCTCTTACCGATATCAAAAGAATCAAGAGTACTCTTGGAGTGGTAAGACACAACTTGTTATAACATTATATGCCATGCATGTTTAAGTCGTCTCTAGAATCTAGCTCATCATTTGTTTAATTTTGTCGTTCTTTTTGGTGGATAGACGGTAAATGATGTTGTCGTTGGGATACTTTTTCTTGGAACTCGCTTATATATGCAAGAAATCAACAATGGATTGCTAAAGAACACACGATCCACGGTAGTGATAACTCTTAATATTAGGAGTGACAAAGGATATGCACGCGTAGAAGAAATGTGGAAACACAATGCCAAGGTACCATGGGGAAATAGATTTTCAGGTATCGAAATACCAATCACAAATTTAGAGGAGAATGATATTAAAAATCCTCTAAAGTTTATCTTGAAAGCTCACAAAATTATTAAGAAAAAGAGGAATGCCCCTTTTGCTCAAATTCTCTTATTATGGTGCCTTGGAGTTGTGAGGACATGTGTAGGCCTTCAGGTATGTTACATTTTGCTTGGTGTTATTTTTCAAACGAGAATTATATTTAGGGAAGGAGGGAGTATTACAGAATTATCTCCTAAAGTAGATAAGTCACTTATATTTTACAACTAATTTAGATCACTGCAATGAACGATGATTACTAAATTATACTTTTTTTTTTTAAAAAAAAAAAACACTAATTTATACTTTTTATTAGCTATAGTTTGATAATTAACTAGCTTAGACCCCGTGCCATGCACGGTAATTCTATTTTTAAAAAAATTAATTATATCTAACAAAAAAAATTTGATAAAACATACATATCAAACATATAGAAAGTAAATTGTCATAAATTTATATTAAAAGGCAAAGCAAAAGTTTAATATACAAACTCAAGTTTAATGTATAAACTCATATTTTAGATAAAAAAAAATAAATTAAATAAATAAATTAAATAAATAAACTAATTATACAATAATCTGGACTTCATTAGACACATTATTGAGGAAATCTAAAAATTTTGTCTCCTTTGTTATCTTTACTGTTTTATTATTTTTTTCTCTCACATTTCTCAAAGTTTCATCTATGTCGTTGTTAATTTATTTTTAGAAATTTTTTTAAATAAAACCTTCAAAAAAAAAAAAAAAAAGTTGGTAAAATTACAGGAATATTTTACAGAAAATTAGTGCAATTTTTATTGTTTCATAAGATTTCAAATCAATACTATGAATATAAATGTTTTTTTACCCAATGACCCCCACTACTGTACAACTGTAATGGTAATTCTAATTTAAATTTTTATGCAAGTCCCGTTATTTTATAATAAAATTCGTATTTTATACGTTACTAAAAAATGACGATCAAAGTTAGTAAATAAATATCAAAAAAGATCCAACGTATCATTTATTTAGGAACGAATGGGTATTAAATTTTTGGCAAAATTTAATACTCCGTATAATAGATAAACATAAAATAGTTGGAAATATTTTAGGTTAATACGTATGGAAAGATTAAGAATACCAAATAAAAAAATAAAAAATAATTAAAAAAAAAAAAGAATATTTATAAAAGATTTGGAATAACATTATTATAGTTGAATTATACAACTATTCTACAAAGTTATTTTGGCTAAAAAGAAAGGGGAGTTTTAGAGGGAAAAAAATAGTACTAGGAAGTGACATGGTGTTTGTTTCAGTTTTAAGTTATTGATTAGCAAAAAAAAAATGAAAATTAATTATTAAAGTAAATAAACTCTATAATTCAAAATATTTTTGTTTTGAGAAATTTTCTTTGGTAACACTTTTTTTTTTTTTCTCTTTGATAAATTGTAAAAAAAGTTTTATTATCTCTGATAATCTTGTATTATAGTTATTAAATTAATTATAACATTAATGACATTAAAACACAATTATAAAACTAACGACACTTCGTCATGGTTAATAAACAATGGAGTTACAAAAATACCCTTAAAAAATTTCCTAAACCACCAAAACTAACACCTCCCACCATTCTTTCAAAAAAAAACACCTCCCCACCACCACCTAAGTTGTCCACTACCGCGACCTTCACCATCACCCCGAAACCACCTCAAAAACATCCCTAAAAAACCATCTTCATCATCACAAAAGATGGTGTTCGAATACCTTGGAACGTTTATGTAATCCCAATTTTCTCCTCTACAATCCATTAAAACTCTTTCCCAATCTCCCAATAATTATTGCTTATTCTCCTCTCCGATGTCATTCTTGCCTATCAATTCTCAACCATTTTTCATCATCGATTATGCAGCCAAAATTTGGATTTGCCCTTTTTGTTTAAGTCGAAATTAATTTATCAGTCAAGTATGTCTTTTCACCTTTATCAATTGATTGTTGGTGCAGTTGTGATTGGGACTACACTTGGTAGGAAGGATTTTGTGATCAATCCCTCACAACAAACCCTTTGGGAGAGAAGTGGAACCTAACCACCCAGAACTGATCCGAATCCAGTTTATCCCAAAAGTGGGTGGAACACAAAAAAAAAAAAAAAAAAAAAAAAAAAAAAAAAAAGTTATGTCTTTTCACCCTTTATTTTGTCACTAAAAGCTTAACTATAGTTAAGAAATTTATAAAAATTGTCATTAGTACAATGATTAACTTAATAACAATAATACAATATTATCATAATAAATTTTTTTCCAATTTACCAAAGAGAAAAAGAAAAATCTAAATGTTATCAAAGAGAATTTCCCTTTTATTTTTTGGTGATGTAGTGTTTTTGAAAGGAGTATTTCTAAATGTTTAGGTTTATTATGTTCTTTTATTGCATTTAACTTTAATATTATGTTTGCAAATTGCAGGCAGCTGCAAAAACTTTTGAGCAAAGGTCGAAGAACTGTAGCTTTCTGATGAGCAATATGATTGGGCCAATTGAGAAAATGAGTTTTGCTGGTCATCCTGTCGACGGTTTTTATTTCATGCCAACTGGCCTAAAATCGGTTAGCATTGTGCCTCATATCTTTTTTTCTTTTTTTTTTTACTCGGTGAAACCGAGGGGCAAGCCCCAAAAGAAGAGAAACCACTACAAACTAGAAAGGAAAAATAACTAAAATAAAAAACAGCATATAAAACTACCACTACTAACAACGAGCTTCCAAGACTACTAAGTCTTGCTTCCACAAACAACCCTAGGACATGCCACCCCTCCCAAGTCCTCCAATAAAATGGCTCAAAAATTCTTCGGGACCGTCTCAAAGAGAACCAATTTCTCCACCGAGGAAACTCCATAGTTAGCGAGCCAATCCGCAACTCTATTAGCTTCTCGATAGCAATGACCGATAGTGACTTCACCCACGTCTTGCCATGAGTGACTTACACTTTCGGATTATATGTATATAAGAAGAGTTGGGGGAGTCACCTCCACTGACAAACGAAACATGACCTTCGAGTCCACCCTGACTCACACTTTCTTGTGACACCATTCCAAGCGATTGCAAGACCACGCATTACAGCCAATAGCTCAACCAAATACAAATATATTTTACATATATATTTTACTTGGCGTAACCAATTCATACATATATACTAAATTAATCTGTATGTCATATTCTCATCACATAACCATCGTTTGGTTGCTTGTCACAAATTATTAATACACATGTCGTTTGGTATATGCTTTATATAAGATTGTGAATGCAGCGGAATCAAAGTGGAAGAGATTGGGTAAAATAAATAGAGATTTATAATAAGACAAATAATAAAAAAAAAAAAAAAAGTCATGAAAAGAAACACACAATTTTAACATGGAAAAATTCTCTAAAAAGCCTAGAAAAATCTACCTCAGCACATATCAGTCTCATGAGCCTAATAATTATGAGTTGGACTTGTGATGAGCCGACCCGCACACAAATTTTGGCCGCTTAACCCAACAACCATCTTCCATTGACTCCATAGTATTTTTATAGCATTTGATTTGGTAGATAGAGTATTAAATAACTGATATTATGTAGATAAATACATAATAATGACTAGCATTTTGGTGACTTTTTATTGCAGAGTTTGACGGTTACTGTGATGAGTTATATGCAAATGTTGACAATTGGCTTAGCTGTTGAGAAAGGCTTCATCGATCACCAAAAATTAATCACTTGCGTGGAGAAAGCCTTTCAATTGATTTTCGATGCTGCCACAACTACCTCATAATTTGTTGCAAAAAAAATATATGGTGTCGTTTTATGTATCGTATTTGTTAATAAAGTCTTAGAGTGACACCCAAAACATAATCTCGAATTATGTCTGCTTTTGTGTATGTCGTCCCTCGATTTTAAGAAATAAAATGATGTTTTATTCTTGTTTACTGTTTTTAGTTCATGGAAAGTCTTTGACTTTTTTTTTTTCTTTCTAAACTAGATTTGGTTTGTATCAAATCCATTAAAAAGCTAATTTCAAGATATGTCAACCTATATGTATGTTGAGATTGAGCAAAGACCTTTTTAACTATATATACTTTCTCATTTTTTTTTATAGTAGCTACATGTAATTTTACGTTTTGTATTATTCACATGCATATTTTTTTTTTATATATGGTAATTTATATTTAAGAAAAATCTAATCATGTGATATTTGCTTTTTAAGTTCTTACTAATGTATTAAAATATTAACTTTTTATACGTAGTAGTTTTTACTTTATTATTAAAAAAAGATAGTAACGGTTAAACTTACGCATTAACATAAGGGTAAAAGCTACAAGTATAAGTTATGCATTTTTTTTTCTAGGTAAGATACGGGGGCCTCACCTCCTATCACAGGAGGTGGGATGAGGAATCGAACCCACGCCACTTATGGGAGAGATGGAGGGACAACTACACAAACAAGAGATGTATTATATAAACGTGATTTATAATGACATGCATAAAGACATTTAATAGTGTGACATTATACACATATGTCCGTTGTTCTTGAAAGTTTGATTTGGTATTAAACGGTAAACCATTGACCATTGTTTCTATGAAGGATAGGAAAAAGTGGGTAAGTGTAAATAGTAGGTGGATAAAATCTATGCATGGTTCGTACATGTGTTTGTAGATGCGCATCGTACATACGTTTTGTAAAACAAACAACGGAAAAAATATAATATAGAAAAGTAATGAACATATAACTTTTTTTTTTACAAGAATGAACATATAGCTATAGTGAAAAAAATATGCTATTAAAATGTAATAAACATATAACTAAAAGAACATAGTTGCATCAAAAAAGAGTGGAAAAAACATATGTCCATGTTCTTTGATTGTCAGTGTAATATACTTTTATTTGTGACATAATATTCATTGCTTATTGTGAAATGTTTATTGAATTTTTATATTGAAATTATGGTAGGTATATATAAATAATGTTCATTACATAATATTATCATGTTTTTTATTAAATTAATATTACAGATGTTCTTTAGATATACAAAAAAAAACATAAAGCTGGATGATATTTACAAAACAGTTATATGTTTTTTACAAAACAATTATATGTTCTTTACAAAACAGCTACATGTTCTTTTTTGCCTTTTTTATCTGTACCAAGCATGGTACAAACGCCTAAACCTTAAAATTTTGAGGATAAAATAATCGTTGGTGGATCATGATTATTGTAAGAAAGGACGACAAATAAAGTTAGAGAAAGTTAGTTGAAAACCGTAAATATTGTAAATTTCATTCCAATTTGATTCAACTCATTCTATTTTAGATCAGCTGAGTTCAACAAATTAAGACATAAGTTAAATTCTACTTTCGTTAATTTAGAGTTGTAATAAAAGAATTTTTATGTCTCACAAATAATACCCTTTGTTGCAACTAAAAAGTAATGGAGGTAGGACAAATTTAGCGTGTATAATCACTTAAAAAATAATAATAGATGCACCTAAAGGTGTCAAAACCACACCCGACCTGATCCAAAATCGACCTAAAAAATATTCGATTCAGATTTTAACTCATGGACACAATAATTTAGCATGACACAATTTTAAAAATAAACTCGACTCAACTCAACCTCAGCAAACCTGATCCGGAAACCTGAATTGACACCTATAGTCTCTAAATGCACCCATTACCTAGTCGAATTGTCAATAATTAACCTGATTTGTAACCTTATCCAAACTCGACCCAATTTGAAAAGTCGGCACGTTGAACTTAGACATTAATTGTGTGGATTGAGTTGGGAAGAAAACACTAAATTCTCAAATTATTGTTTGGTATATACGGAGTAGTAATTATATTTCATTGAACTGATAAGATGCATGAGTAGGGGTGAAAGTTCGGTTTGCGGTGTGATTTATAGCCCAAACCGAAACCAAACCACATTTATTCGGTTTTGGGATTTTTCAAACCACACCACACCATATTACTATTGAAACCGAACCAAACCACACTGTTTTAAATTCGGTTTTACTGACCACACTGAAATTTTTCATTTTCTTCCTTTTTGCTCCATCTAATTGGTCATTCACTCCAACATCGCCCACATTGGTTGACATTCTAATACATAAAAAAAACACAAGTTTTATTATTTTTTGACTTTATATATGTAGGGTAGAAATTAGTATTGGGCTAGCTATGCTATAATTTGGATATGGGCCATAATTCGGTTTGGATTTCGATTTTCGGTTTTTCAAATTTTAAAACCGAAACCAAACCATATTAATTCGGTTTTAGGATTCCTCAAACCGCACCGAACCATATTAGAAAAATAACCGCACCACATTTCTAACTTGGTTTGGTTTGCGGTTTAGTTCGGTTTTAAACCACATTAGTTTCACCCCTATACATGAGATTTAGGAGCATTCCTAATAGCAAGTAGTTTGGTAAGTGCTATAATAAGTATGTGTGACCAATAATTAATTTAATAACTATTGAGTAGCCCAGGCGACGGGCGTTGCCCCACATTGCTACTTTTGTAGTTGTGAAACTGCTAATTTTTTAAAAGGCATTTAATAGTTTGTATGTGATTTCAATACGTTTGTACTATAGTATTAATTTGTGTGCAAAATTAAAGCATAAGTGACAATCAGTCTAAATGGTTAAACAATGATCTTTCTTCTAAGAGGTTGCGTGGGTGACATGACGTATTAAGGAATTAAGTGTATGACAAGGCGTGATGAGGAATTGAGTATATATATAACGTGGCATAATGAGGGATATATGTGACACAGACATTTTAGGAACGTCTTTTAATATATCAGTATAGATTGGTCCAATATGATTTTTCTTTTCATCCCAGGAATAATGTTTTCATCAAACTTCCACACCACAACTTTCTTACACATTTATTGTGCGTGATCACATAATTTGGTAATGTATTATGTACAATGACGGATTCAGTATTTGACAGATGGTTGATCACCAACGTTCATCGATCACATATCAATCAATAACAATTGCATGGATAAAAAAAATTGAGACTTATAACTCTTAACTTTTCATGTTTTGTTGTTTATATATGATATCATCTATGCTAATATTTAAATATATATTTAAAATATTCCTCATATATTTACCTCTTCGGTATAAAATTTAAGTCGCAATTTGGATTAGATAAAGATGTCTAATTATGTCAAACTATAATGACTTGAATCATTCAATCAATTTTCAGTTATATCAAATTAATAATATATACCAAATTTTGTTAATTGCTACTCCGTAGGTACTAAAAAATTAACTTCAAATATCAATTGAAAAACAATTTCAATGCCAATTAAATCTATCCATATTAATTGTAAAATTGTAATTGAGATATACATACTTAATACAAGTCATCAACTAAAAACCCTAATTATGTACAAGAAATCAACCTAACATAACACCTTTTAATTACTCTTTGTATTAATTTTAGTTTAGCTAAAATTAGATGAAGAGAACATTGCTTAATTTCAGTTCAGTAAAATAAATTTTAATCAGCATATTTTAGTAACTTTAAAGAACGGTTATAATAGAAATTAGAAGAAAAAAAATTAATTAAAATTTCGTAAAAATAATAAAAAAAAAATTATTTAATTTAAGTAAAATATGTTATTTTTCTGCAAAATTAAGGTGAACATAATAGGTTCCAAATCATGCAATTCATGTTATTAATGATATTGTTTTGCTAAACATATTTTTTTTTATTTAACTTAAATTTTATTTCTAATTAATACTTACTTTTTATTGATTTTCTATAATATTTGTAATTACAAAAATTCAGTAATGAAAACTTTTTTACCGAAGTGAACTTATTTTTTCTAAATAAACTTAACTTATTATTACTGAGCTGAAAGTATATTTTAAATAAATCATATTACTGTACTAAACATCATTTGATTAAGGTGAACAAAACATATTCTTATTCATGCAAAGCGCATACAATGTACAAGTAGATAAATCCTTTTTATAGATCAGAATGCAAGCTCAACTAATAATAGGCCATATTCTCTTCACCTCAAAACAAGACTCCTTTTATTCCATAATAATTGACACAATTGCCTTTTTTGTCTCAACTTTAACTATCAATATCGTTGATTATACTTCATTAATCATTATATTAGTAAAAATTAAAAAAAATATAAAAAAAATAAAAACTTGATATTCCAATAATATACATATACTACCTCCGTTTTTTTTCATGTGCAACTTTGGAATATTTTATGTCTCACAAATATTCCTCAAAGTTGCACATAAAAAAAAACGGAGGTAGTATTACATAAAACTAACAAACAACTTACTTTTGTACCATTTACTTATATAATAATAAAAAAAATGGTCAAAGTTATTAAAAAAAAGGTCAAATGTGTTAATTATTATGGAATTAAGGGAGTTATATTAAGTAAAAATAATTTTAATTCAGTAAAAAAAAATAATACGCAAAAATATTTTCACTTCAGTAAAATAAGTTTTAATTAGTTAAAATCAATAAATTTTAAAAAAAATATATAAAAAAAAATTCAGTAAAAATAAGTTTGAATCTTATAAATAATTTCAATTTACTAAACAAAATTAAGTTCAACAATTATTGTTTCAAAAAAAAAGTTCAACAAATATAATTTTAAATCAGTAGAAACAATTTCATTTCAGCAAAAATGTTGAAAAAAACATGGCCTAAATGTTAAATTTCTATACATTATGTTTGTTGGAGTTTACTATAATGGTAAATCGTGTTTTACAATACTATAATTTATAGCATGAAGAAACGCATTAGATATGCCAAATTGAGTTATTAATGTTGACAATTAAAGTTATTATACACCAACATCGAGCATGGGCGGATGCAACTAGCATTAAGGATGGATTTCCCTCATATAGTCATATACACCTTGATGCAAATCATGCAATTATA